AATGCTTCTATTCTTCCTGTCAAACGTTGGACCTCTCTTGTGTTTGAGGGTGGTTGCATGTCAATTATAGTTCAGATTTTCTTTGGATTAGTTTCAATGCCTCGATTGTTGATTATAATGCTTAAGAATTTTTCCGTCGAGACCCCAAAGCGCTCATTTGGTTGGGTTGAGCTTCGTTTAATATTTTTTCAGAATTTGGAAAGATTCTTCGAGGTGCTGGATGTGGAGCACAACCTTCAGTGATTTTACCAGTATATCATCGATGTAGAACTTTATGGATGTCTCGATATACTTTCGAAACATGTGGTTTACCAATCACTGATAAGTGGTTCATGCATTTTTTAACTCAAAAGGTATGACCTGATAGCAGTGGGTCCCTTGTCAATTTCGAAGGATGTATTCTCTTGGTCATTGGGATCTATCCTGATCTGATTGTATCTAAAAAGGCATTTGTGAAATTGAGTAGCTCATGCCCTGTCATGGCATCCACGATCAATTCAATCTGAGGTAAAGAAAAGTTATCCTTTGGGCAATCACGATTTAGGTCAGTAAAGTAGATGCAGAGCCGCCATTTGCTATTGGTCTTTTTAACAAGGACCACATTGGCCAGCTAGGTTGGATAGTCTATTTTCTTGATGGCTTTGGCGTGGGGGAGCTTAAAGACCTCTTCATTTATAGCTTTCTAGCGTTCTACAGCAAAGCTTCTCTACTTTTGCTTTATCAGCTTGAAGGTTGGATTCACGCTAGGCTTGTGCGTGATGACTGAAGGGTCCATCCGCTGCATATCCTTTTGTTTCCAAGCAAACACCTTGATATTTTTTCTCAAAAATTGAACAAGGAGGTCCTTAATCTCTTTTTAGCAGCTTTGACCCCCACATACACCAAATGTCCTGAGTCCTCGTTGAGTTAGATTGGCTCCAACTCTTCTAAGGGTGTGGGCCTTGTCTCCAACTCGTCTTTAATGTCGAACTTGTCCAGTTGTATGATCTTAATGACACCCTAAATATTCCTAAGGTTGAGCTCGAGATTTTAGCTCAAGCCACTCAGCCCATCACTGATGACTAGGGAACTTGAGGTTTGTACCTCCTCCCCAACAATTGCACTTGCATAGGAATAGCATAGAAGACATCTGGCTTCTACCAAAGCACCACACATAACGTAATAACCTTGCATTTGGGCAAAGAAGTTATAACTATCTCAATGATGTCCTGGGCAAACGCATAATAGGGGCAATCATTACAAGAAGAAGCCTAAGATCATGTCTAGAATCATGCAAAGCCTCTTAAAACTATAAATATGAGGCATATCCCTCATGAAAAACAACATGCATCTAGCCTTAGCAATTAACCTGTGTAATTTTTTCCTCTTTATCAATATAATCACCCTAGGAGCAAGATACTCCTTTCAGAGTGGATTAACTGAACTCTTGAGCTGGTGAACCACTGTAAACTTTCTATGTGTAAACCTCTATTCCCTTTTGTTCAATTCTTAAGAGCCTAGGAGATCCCTAAGTTTTGTTCATTTGTGTGACACACACCATCAGATACAAAAATAAATTTATATCATAAACAAGTCTACCGCACAAAATGGATGGACTGACTAACCTAATCTTGTCATAGCTAACTTGGTCTGCCAGAATCCAAGTCAACCAAGTATCAAAGAATTCGATTTACATTAGAATAAAGGACATAAGAGAAATTACATCATCAAATTTTAACTTGGACATAAAGAATCCATCTCTAAAAGTCATCAACTTTTCAAATGTCACGTCATATATAAAAAAAATGTTTATAACAGTCAAATATTCTCTCAAATATTCTAACAAACTAGAGAATTACACCATCATTATTTGAAAACCACACTACCTTAGTGTATCAATAGGCAGATCAATAGGCAGACGTTTGTTTTGCCTACAACAATCTGCAATTGTATCTTCAAGATAGAATAATCGTCTTTTTCCCAATGTAATATAAATTTAAAAAGGAAGAACCTCCATTACAATGGATTAGCCTATTTCTTCAACTTGATAAATTACTTATTTTCTTGTGTTCTTACTTACTATGCTATTTTGCTCACTCACACACACAACTCATCCACTCCACATAGCTTACTTTACTCACATTTGTCAATTTCACACACAATCAAAATATATTTCACAATCTAATTAATCGGTTTCTAAATTGGGTTTATCTATTCCAACCCAATCCTAATAAGGGCATGTTTGTTTGAACGATAATAATGGTATAAGGAGGTGAGATTAGAGAAAATAGTATGTGGGATCCAATAATATTTTATTTGTTTGCCTTTTTTCGTGGGGTATTATTTTTTAGGTCGCATTATTGACCCGCTAGCTACAGTTCACCAAAACTCATATACATGGACTTATATAATACCACTTAAGAGGTGATATTATTTTTTGGGTTTTGGTCATCAATGGTATTGGGGAGATTAATGACTAAATTGCCCTTCGTCCTTGTATTATGGTTAAGCGTACGGTATCACTAGTTTTTTTTTTAAAAAAATTCTAATTTTAAATTTTTTTCTTGTATTATTTTTTGAGCATAAGGTGTCACCAATTTTTTTTAAAATTTTTTTTTAAAAATATTATTTTGAATTTTTTTCTAATATTATGTTTAAACATACGATATCACTGGTTTTTTTTTTTTTTATAATTTTTTTTACAAATTTTTTTGGTACGTACATCTGGAATAGAGAAATTAAATTAATGTTGTTAAGGGTAAAATTGTATATTTGTTATACAAAATCTGATAGAATAAATGATTATTTGTGAGATCTACTATAATATCTATTGAACTAATAAATATAAAAACGGATTAAAATATTTTATATTATCGATATTAGTTTTTATTAATATTAAAAATATAAAAAATACATTTCTCAATATTTATTATATAGCATTCTTCAAAACAAAAATGTTATAAATGTACAGATCGATAACAATGGTTCATTCCCCCTTGGACATGAGTAATGAACCTGTTTGTGTACAGGCACACTCAAAAACAAACAAAATCAACGGTCACTCACATCCTCACGTCTGTCCCCTCTCTCACCACCATCGAGGAAGCTATGCAGTTCATCTCAACTTCCACCACGACGCCAACGTTCGACTGCTGTCCTCGCGAGATTCTCTACGAAAAGTAAAAACAGAGACTGGGCTCCACCACCTGACCCAAAAAATATTTATTGTAACGGTTGCTGTCATCTGTAATTATCCAATAAACCAAGGACTAAAAATTGTACTAATTTATGCCTTCAAACATTTTATAAGATCCCTCTCCAATGGTAAGTATTATATTTTTATCAAATACAAGAATAGGAATGATAAGGGTTACTGAGGCAACTCGTGTAACTCATATTTTTGTTCATTAAAATATAAGTGAGTCGTGATCAAAATATTTAGATTGTAAAAAATATTTACCGTAATTAAAAAATAAATACAATTAAAATATTTGAAAAATATTATGTTGTTTAACTTATATTCAAAAAATTCATTTCAAATGATTTGATACCTAACAATAAATTGAAAATTGAGTTATTAAGACATACAGAGTAATTAAAACATAAATAAATTTATTATAATTAAAAAACTTAAATATAAGTTTATGAAATAAAAATAAATTGTCGATTTTAAATGATTATGATGTATTTTAAAGATGCAAGAAGCTTGTTTTATTAAGTCAAATGTATAAATAAACCCGAAAGTAAAACATTTTAGTCATATCTTTTATAATTTATCATATATTTAAGAACAACTTTTTATTTTCTAAATCTTCAATGACAATTCCTGTCGGATTAAAGGTGATAACTAGAATGCAAATTTACTAAATTGTTCATTATATATTTTAGAAAAAATTTCATTGACACATTTTTTAGATAGACATATTTTCAATGAAACCTTTTCTATTTTCTAAATTTTTTTACTTCTTAAAATTTAGTTCAAGTTAATTAAAATTTTTTTATGTATTAAAATTTGAGCTCGAATCAAATTTTAATCAATTTGCATTGAATTTTAATCGACTTCAAAATTTGATATATAAAAAAATACAAATTTTAATTGACTCAAATTTTAATACATAATTTTTTTTTAATTGACTTGAATTTTAATATGTAAAAAAAAATTAATTAGTTCAAATCAAATTTTAATCGGCTCAAATTTTAATATGTAAAAAAATAAATTTTAATCAACTCTAATTTTAATCAAATTTTATGTAGAAAGATTATTTAGAGTTTATATAAAGACAATTTTAAAATTTTAAATGAATTTTTTTTGTTAAAAATGGTGATTTAACGACAGGAGTATCAGTGATATCTACACAAAATTAGATAACAAGTTGAATCCTTATCCCATATACATTTTTATCCTTAAAAAAATTTAATATTTAGTTAATTTGTAATTTAAGACAACTTTTATTTTATATATTATTCGTATACGATAGTATATACATATTAAAAAAATTTATCTAGCTATGCATTTTGAAAATATTTTGATGGTATTTTTAAGAAAATAATATATAAAAATTAATTTTAAATGATGTAACAAAACAATTAATTTTAAATTTAATGTAATGAGATCAATTTTTTAAACACTAAAATTTTATATTTCATAACACATTCAGACACAAATTATGAGTAATTAAAATATACTCCCTCTGTTCTTAAATATCTGTCGTTTTATATAATTTTTTTTTGTTTTACAATATCCGTCATTTAATGAAATTAAAGCATAATTAATATTTTTTCTTCAAAATTTACTCTTATTTATATTTTTCAATAAGTGCTTAATAGATTAAGTATAATTTAAGTATATTTTATATTTCTTTTATTCTTAATATTTATTCAATAAGAATATTTTAGTCTGATGTAATTATTTTTTATTCATATTAAAATTAGTTAATAATTTTCGTAATTCCTGTACATAAATTGACAGCTATTTAAGAGACGAAGAACAATAGATTTCGGTCAGTAACAGAGGGGATGTGGTTGAAGATATCATTTCAACCCCTCGCTTTCCCAGAAACCAAAATATTTCGTAAATCCCCGGGATGCCTCTCTGTCACTGAAACTCAAATTGGAGATTCTCTTTGCAAACCTCTCCAAACATGGCAAACCATGCCCTCTCTCCGGATAAACGCTCTCTACTCTCTATATTCTTCATCACTTCCACCCTCGTCATCTATCAATCAACGTCCGAGTATACCATCGGCGTCAACTATGGCACTGTCGCCGACAACCTCCCACCACCAGCCCAAGTCGACTCTTTCATTAAGGACCAGACAACCATCGACAAAATCAAAATTTTTGACACCAACCCCACGATTCTCCAAGCCTTTGCCAACTCCGGCATTGTCTTCACCGTCTCCGTCGCCAACGGCGACGTCATATCCCTCTCCAAACTCCCCAACGCCCAGTCCTGGGTCACCACCAACATCGTTCCATTCTACCCACAAACCCAAATCCACCGTATCGCCGTTGGTAACGAAATCATCGCCACCGGCGACAAAAACCTCATTGCCCACCTCGTCCCCGCCATGAGATCTCTTCACACCGCTCTCAAACTCGCTAACCTCACCGACATTCAAGTCTCAACTTCTCACTCTTTGGGCATACTCTCAGTCTCTGTACCACCCAGTTCCGGCCGGTTCCGACGCGGCTACGATCGGGTTATATTTGGTCCAATGTTAGAATTTCACCGCCAAACGAACACACCTTTCATGGTCTGCCCATACCCTTATTTTGGATTCACCGATAAAACTCTCGATTACGCTTTGTTCAAGCCAAACGATGGCATTTTAGACGAAACCACTGGGATCAGATACACGAACATGTTCGATGCTCAAATGGACGCGGTGTACTCAGCGATGAAGAGGCTTGATTACGGCGACGTGGACATCGTGGTGGCGGAGACAGGGTGGCCGTCGGCTGGTGACCCGAACCAACCCGGCGTGAGCTTGGAGAATGCGGTATCGTATAACGCCAACCTAGTGAGGCACGTGAACTCCGGCCTTGGCACGCCATTAATGCCTAATAGGACTTTCGAAACCTACATTTTCTCTCTTTTCAATGAAGACCTCAAACCCTCGACGTCGGAGAGGAATTTCGGACTGTTCCGACCCGATTTCAGCGCGGTTTACGACGTGGGCATTTTACGCACTGTGCAGGTAATTTTCCTAAATTTCTATGTATTGCGAGGGTAAATTCGTAACGTAACAATCTGGATATAATGTTCCTGTGTTTCGCGTTACACGCTAATGAGCTGGTGTGTTGATTTGGTTCCGTTGGTTTATACGACTGAACTTAAAGTTGCTTGCAATTCTTTGACCGCTGTTGGTCGTAGCCAATGAGGGTCTGCCACCCCCACCACAAGCTTGAGCTCATGTAATCCTTTATACGTTTCTTGCGCTTATTGTTACCCTTCTGTAGGACTAACCAACTTTTTCGCAGGGGATTTATCCGGTGTCGGGTCCATGTGTTAGATTAAATGACTAAATTACCCTCTTAATGTACGTTAGGCATGGTTCCTTTACAGCTGTTCTCTGTGGCTAGTTTGACGGGGGTATTATCGGCAGGGTAGTCTACATTGTTGGAAAATCTCCCGCGCTTGATATTCCCTGGCATCTGTTTGAATCGACACCTACCGTGTCTACTATCATAATACATTTAAAATCATAAATCAATAGTAAATTTTTGAGTTAAAAATGTTATAATCTATCATAAAATATTATGATCAATTATAAACAAAATAATTTTTAAAAATTATAAAAGTGAAGTTATAATTAATTGATGTTAATATTTATTCAGAATCGAGTATAACATTTTATGATCAATGACAATATGTGATCAATTATAAAATGGTATGATCAATCATGAAAAATTTTATAATTTGTTTTAATAATACCAGAAATAAGTGTTGGTATTATAGTCTTTTCCAATAAATTAAATTAAATAAAATAATTATATAAAATGACTTGTGAAGTATTATTTTTAATTGGGTGAAAAATTGAGGTATGGTGCAAAAAGTTATTTCTATGTACGAAGTTATAACTCTAAAATCTACTCTTGTCACATAGGCCCATTAATTTTAGAGACAAAATGGACTCATTTTTATTTTGAAATAGTTATTTTTTTTGGGATAAATTACACCCAAATTTCTTGAGATTTGTCACTTAATCACTTAGATTGCCTCATATTTGACATATTACACCTAGACTCTGATCACTGATCTCTGTTAAGGTAGCCTTTATTTTAAAATAGATACTTTTTAAAATATTTTTTTTTATTTGGGTTATATATAAATTACAAAATGACTGTGTTAAAGAAATAGTAAGAGTAGTTCTAATTGAAGACAAGTTGAGAGAGAATAGATTAAGATGGTTTGATCATGTTCAACAGATAGAAGCACCGATTAGAAAAACTGATAGAATTTTTATTAATAATATTAAGAGTAGGGATAGATTTAAATTAATATTAAATGAAATAATAAAAAATATATATAAAAATATTTAACTCAAAAAAGCATATAGTGCATGACCGAAATGAATGGTAAATATGGACTCATAACCGACTTTAAATGATTTGTACATAAAATTTAGTTTGATTTGATTTGAGTTATATATACATTACATAAATTTTCAAATGTTGCAATTTAACATTGGTACAACACTTACACTCATCAACATTAGAAGCCTAACTCCGGGATTTTAATGAACACAAACCCTTTCTTTTATATGTCAAGAGTATGGGTCCAACGCCCACGGCTGCTCCATCACCGGCATCGGATGAGGGGAAAAAATGGTGCGTGCCGAAAGAAGATGCGAGTGATCAGGCGTTGCAGTCGAACATAGACTTCGTGTGCAGCTCAGGAGTGGATTGTAAGCCTATCCAAGACGGTGGGTCATGCTTCGATCCAAATACCATCCGATCACACGCATCCTATGCGATGAACGCTTACTATCAGGCCAATGGTCGCAACGATTTTGACTGTGATTTCATCGGCACCGGAGTCATCACCACCGGAGACCCCAGTACGTCTATTCAAATTGAAGTTTTCTGCCTATTTTTTACACCTATTTGATTTCTAAGGTATTAGTAATTGAACTTGATGTAACGTGGGGTTGCAGGTTACGAGGAATGTACGTATGGGGCTTGAGAAGAACACAAACCGGGAAGAGACGGTGGCTCCAGGTTTAAGGCAAAGCCCATAAGTAATTAGCTAATAGTTTTCTTTATGTAGGGGTTTTGTGTTAATCACTAATCTGAGGTGGGAAGTGTTTTTTCTTGCTGGGTGGTGGTCCATTTGCATAACTTCAAAGCAATAGGTTTTTGTTTGATATATTGATGATATGGAATTTTTACCAGCTTAGGCACTGGTCTTTGTTCATATTCTCTTATGCTGGGGTAGGTTTTGTCTGTACTTTTTATTTCAACTTTTAGATTGTAATGTTGCTGCTGTCAATTATGGGAGTTTCTATTTTTTCCAAGAGTATTGTATCTGTAGTTTCTGATAAATTCAGGACATGCGTCTATACTATGAAAAGACAATTGGTAGAAATTATCAATTGACATGGTAGTGGGGCTTGACAAAGTCCAGCAGGATTGGATTGGTACGGACAAAATGTTTGAATGAATTTGAGCCAAAGTTTAAACATGTTTGAATGAATTAAGTTGAAATTCAGTTATAGTTTAGTGGTTATGTTATGAAATTGTTCAATTGGATTGAATTAGATTTTAAATTCTTAATACTGTCAACTACAAATTCTCTAAATTGGATAGGATTGGGTTCACTAAAATCTTCAATAATTTCTTCTTTTTTAAAAAAAAAAAACTGAAAAACCTATCTAAATTCGAAGTGTTGATAGGCTACATGAGCCCACCTCCCTTTCAATTTCAAATGTATTGTGGAATTTTCAAATAGTACCACCTAGTTTGTTGATTGAAATAATCTCTATAAATTTTAAGTCATGTTTCAATTGAATATTAGGATGAAAAATATAGAGAGCAATGTTACTTAGACTAAAATGTTTGATCTAATTTGCTAACATAATTACTTATAGCTATTGAATTAAAAGTGAGTTTTAGAATTCGTTAGAAGTTATGATCAATCTAATGATTATGATTGATCTAATTTGCTAACATAATTACTTATAGCTATTGAATTAAAAGTGAGTTTTAGAATTCGTTAGAAGTTATGATCAATCTAATGATTATGATAGATTAGATCAATAAATTATTTCAACAAATTTAGTTGAAATATAATTTTTCTTTCTAAACTTCATGACAGTTTTTGTATTTTATATTTCAAAAGATAATAATTTTTTATTTTATACCCTAAAAAATTAAGTTTATTATATTAAACTATTAATGTATTAAAAGTATTGTAATATAGCTCTTTCATTAATTTTTGTTATTTATTCCGTAAAAAATTCTCATTGGCATTAATAAAATTAATAGAAGCTAATATAAGAGTCACATTATAATATATTAATACATTGAGGGTGTAATATAAAAAATTTAATTTTTAAAAGTAGAAAGTAAAAATTTTTAAATTGCTTGGGGGGTACAAAGTGAAATTCGCCCAAAAAACCAACAAACTTTGGACTGTATTTTTAGCGACACCAACGACGTCGTAATACCTTATTATACGACGAACCACAACTATTAATTGTCGGCTAGGATTGAGGAAGACGGCGCCGTAGTATTTCCTTCTTGCATTGATTGCCAAACCTAAGCGATTTCCAAACACGGTTTCGCTCGATCGCTCGCAGTATTATTGTCTCACAAGACAGACCACAGAGGTTCAACTTTCAATTCAATAGCTATCTTTGTTCCGTCCTTTCTCAGTTTAGGGTTTGCTACTCGAGATCCCGCGAACTGTGTTTAAAAGTAAGAGCAACGATTCATTGAATTGCTAAAGCTTAAATCAATTGATTATATTTTTATTCTCTGTTGTATTCAATTTATTATGTAGATTGTATTAAATTGATTTTGTGAAATCCTTCAATTTATATAAATTCTAATTCTAACTCCCCCTAAAAAACAAAAATTAGTTTGAGTTTGAATCCCTACTTTCAGTTCCAATTCGGTTTGAAATTGAATCTGAATGTTGATTTTGTATACTTTTGGCTTTTGATACTTTTGGTTCTTTTTTATCAACATGTGCAAACCCTAATTGGCTTTGTTTATGTCCCTCCATATTTTTTTTTTCAAATTTGTGTCTTGAGTTAAGAGTTCGATTTTTGAACTGCAAGTCTAATTGCGCAAAACCCTATCTTGGTTTATTTCGTGGAATTTGTATGCTGAAATCTCATATTTTTATTCGTTTGCACTTTTACAGGGTTTTCGTTGTCAATTTCAAGATGCCGGCAACAGCAGGTAGGGTTCGAATGCCCGCTAACAATCGGGTTCACAGTAGTGCAGCCCTCCAAACCCATGGTATATGGCAAAGCGCAATTGGGTACGACCCTTACGCTCCCAATAAGGACGATAACATTAAATCGTCTCAGAAGTCTACAAATTCTGAACCTGAGGCCGAGAATGCATATGCGAGCTTCCAAGGTTTGCTCGCACTTGCCCGTATAACTGGTTCCAATGCTGATGAGGCTCGTGGGTCGTGCAAGAAATGTGGCCGTGTCGGGCATTTAACATTTCAGTGTAGGAATTTCTTGAGTGTTAAGGATGAGAATAATGATAAAGACCCAGGAGCGATTCAGGCTGCGGTGATGTCTGGGTTGGAGAAATTGAAGGGGAATGGAGCCAAGAGAAATGCTACAACTGCAGTTGAGAGCTCGGGCGAGAGCTCGGAAGAGGAGGAGAGTGAGAATTCGGATTCTGATTATGATTCAGAGATTGAGAGGGCTATTGCTGAGAAGTACAGAAAGAAGACAATAAGTAAGTTGAAGTCATCGAAAAAGAAGAAGGATGATTCAGATGACTATAACTCGGATTTGGGAGAGAGGAAGAAGAGGGGTAGGTCGAAGAGGAGTAGCAGGAAGAGGACTGATACTGATACTGATTCTGATGACGAGCATGAGGGCCACAGGAAGAGGAGGACGGAAAAGAGAAGGAGAAGAGACGAGTCATCGGACGATGACAAGCATGGGCGTGGGAGGAGGAAAAGTAGGAATGATAAGATGAGGAGGAGAAGCCGACATCATGATGACTCATATGAGTCTGATGATTCCCCCAGAAAGCATAAGCGGAAGAGCAGGAGAGCGGGTTCGCCATCTGATTCTGATGTCAATAGGTCAGAGGATTCACGAGTTGGCAGGGACAAAAAGAAAACTATAAGAAGAGCATGAAACACCACCATGATAAAGAGAAGTAGTTTCGTTTACGAAAGGTGATTCTCTTCAATTTTCTAATGTGTTTTACATGATGTTCTTGTTCTTTCATTCTACATTCTGCTTCAAGAGGATATGGTTTTGGATTTTGCTTTGGAGTTAAGGTTGGAATGCTGTATGGGATGTTTGAATGGTGTTTCCCTATGGTTTCGTCTTTCGTGAATCTCTTTCTCTCAACCCCCATCACTTCTTCTTTTCTGTGGTTAGATCATTAATGCGATTGTTTTTATGTCTGCTTGGGTGAATCAGCTTGTAATGTGAACCTCCGTTTTCTGTTAATTTTTCTGTCAGTGCTCTTTGATTGATGTTCAAATGTTTTTGGCTAGTCTCCTTCTTAGCAATGCAATCATTCATTTTGCTGCATGCACCTCACAGCTTGGTTCCAGACATGAGACATTCTGAAAATTGGGATAATTTTAACGATAGTATTTATTCAATAGGATTTTTTATTCTTATGCCCATTGCCTTAGCTCAACTCAACAATGTCTTATCCTATGAATTACGGATATGATACAATATGGCAATACGACAAAACTTGAAAAAAAAAAATGGGTATGACTAAGATAGGCCCATAAAATATAATTTTTAATTTTTTTATTATTATATTTAATGTAATAATTATGATTTATAAAGTGAATCACACATCTATCAAATATATATAATAATAACTAACCATTCTATCATTTATAAATCATACATTCTACCCATACATATTGCATAATATACAAAATTTTTGCATACCAAAGAAAAAAAAATATCATGTTCATGCTTAAACGAAAGAAACTTGTAATTGACAACAAAAAACAGTCCCCTCTTGTTACTAAATTTTTTCCCTAATAGTATATTATTATCTTCATTTCGATCCTCTCCATGTTGGAATAACATATCTTCCATCTCTGGCTCATCAAGTGAAAGACTTGCAATTTCAAAAAACCCAACACCCTCCAATGAATCAAATGCATCTTCACTAATGGCCCATAGCTTCGTAGCTCTATGTATTGTTTACTCATCCTTGATAAGAGACAAAGATTGTTGTGTGCAAAAATCAAATCTTGAGTATGAAGTGGTATCATTTTGTTCCTTTTCATGGAAGTAATGAAAGAGTAAGTACCCCAATTTCTTCCACAACAAGATGAGGAACAAGGTTGGCTAAGTAATTTCAATGCTAAAGATTGAAGCATTGGTGCAGGAGACCCATGAGAAAACCACCACATGAGAGGGTCCATTAATCCTCAATTTACTCTTGAGTCGTGCTCACCAAATTGATCCAAACCAACCTGAGAACTTAGCATATTAAGTATTAGCCATAATTCTCTCTTGTGAATTCGAAAAGTAGCTTTGGAAGCATTTATTTCTCATAGATGATATCTCTTCATTATTGTGAGGAAGAACACGATTGGGATTTTCATCTAGCCACTATGCACTATAATACCTATATTACAAAATTAGAAGATATCAAAATTAACTTGATAAAAAAAAAGTACTTTGAGTAAAAACTAAAAAGAAAGGTGTCTCCTTGGATTTAAGGAATGTGCAAGACAATGAAGAGGTGCGTTACTTTTAGTCTATCTCTCAACTAGAACTTGATGTATCACATCATTAAAGATTAACATTGCATTTTTTGGCTTCCCTTCATGCCTATATAGAGTTGTATTCACCTTTGTCACAAACCCTCAACATCTCATAAATCGACAATGTGAATAAAGTATATAATTTATCTTATCCCACTAAATGTCTCTTGATGGTAATGTGTATTGCACAGTCAAGTAGAGTCGTGCCTTTTAGGGGATTTGGGAATTACAGGATGGTCTAGTCAGAGCTTTTAGGCTCTTATGGGTGGAACAACGGGGAAATAATGGATCTTTGATAGAAGGTTTATAGTGGTTCACCAGTTTGGGAGATCGGCTATTGCTTGGCTTCTATTGTGAGAGATATGCCTCTTATTTATAGCCTTCAAAAGTCTTGCCTGATTTTTGGGCGTGATCCTTGTCATTTCCTCGTAACTGATGCATTTTTTGCACAGTCACTGTGGATAATGTTGAGGCGGTTGCGGCTCGCTTGCTTGAATGTTAGACCGTTGCGATTTACACAGCTTTTTGGTAGGAACCAGATGTCATCCTTGTTGTTTCTATGAGGTTCTTGTTGCTAGAGGTCCCCGACCAGGGCACCTCTGGTTGTTCATCAGAGCAACGTGGTTCGAGTTCAGATGACCGAGCTGAATGCCTGAGCTCATCCTTAGCCAATTTTTGGGTAATATCAGTTGCCCCTCCGGTCTCTAGCTAGGTAAGCTCTATCTAACATGTAGAC